CTGTGTTGGAATGGATACTGGGCCCCCCTGTAGGTTGAGGCCCCGGTGCGGCTGCACCAGCAGCACCGGCGGTAGTTCAGCCCCTGCTCTGTGCCCTGAAGATATACTCGCCTGAAGTCAGCACTTACCCCTCTCCCCCTCCACTCCAGCTATGGAATGTTTCTCAGCAGCCTCATGTCTAACACAAGTCAATGGACCTGCATAAGACATGATGATGTCAGTAGTTCTTATACAACTGGAGCTCAGGGGAGAAGAGGCTGAGGGGTCCGGTTTAGCAGCATGGCAGAACCGAGAGTCAGGTGAGTATATCGGCTTTATTTGGGTCCCCTAGACAAAACGAGCACTTATCCCTTGCAGTATGGGGGTAGCTCCATTGCAAGGGTAGGTTTTGTAACTTTCTGGAGTTCTTCTTTAAGTGAACATGCTCATGCAAGGCATGCAAGGCAAAGCATCAAGTTCACTTTAATACTGACCCTGGCAGCCGCAGGTCCATTGACTATACATTTTTTTAACTCACCCATTGTTTCTCTGATATGACATACCTGGTACTTCTGAGTATGGGAGAGCATGTGACTCACTACACACCTACTGCTCACAAGAATAGTACGGACAGCGCTCTCGGATTAGCCAGGGGAATAGGATATTGTAGCTCTACCTCGCCTGCAGCCCTGGGAGACAGGAGGAGTACCTGCACTTGTGGAACCAAAGAACAAACGTGAGGGCGCAAGGCAGAAGGGGCTATAAAACTAAGTTAAACATAGTGAGAGAAGCGGAAGGAAATGGAACACTTACTTTGAGTGGGTCTCGGGACCGGATGGATGTAGAGCAGTGGAGGAGATCGTGAAGTCCAACGTGTACAATCAATGAAGGCTGGTATGTTGCCTAGGGTAGCTCATCTCAGGGAAGAAAGAGGAGAGGGGTGGACAGGGGTGCGGGTGATGACACACACAGTGTGTCCGTGTCCCCGCTAATGTAATGTAAAGTGCCAGCGATGTGAGAACTGACGTCTGGCTGGGCTGCTGTGGCTGCAGCTGCGGGTGGAAGAACTCGAACTGTGAATGAACGTGACTGGACCAGTGCCCGTACCGTAGTGATGATGTGGGATGGCAAATCGGCCGGGATGGTGGTAAGGTGAGGAGGGATCGGGTTTGTAAAGTCGTGGGTGGATGCTCGGGAGCAACGCGTTTCCTCTGTTACCTTGCAAATCAGTGCAAATCCATTCTTTTGACAGATGTCACTCAGACAAGCGCTTTCGGGGGCCACACAGGGTACCCTTCATCAGAAATGACTCATGAGCCAGGCTCATAAGCCTGATAAGGGGGACCCTGTGCGGCCCTGAAAGCGCTTGTCTGAGTGACATCTATCAATAAAATGAGCTTCATTTTAGGACTTGAAGCTTACACAAGGCTTCTTGCCCTCTCTCTTGTAGAAGAGTGAATGAAAGGGAATTATAAGTAGCTGCGGGGCCTGAAATTGAAGGAGAGACTCCCCAACTCTGTGTAAGCTCCTTTTTAGGACTTGGAGCTTACACAAGCCTTCTTTCCGTCTCTCTTATAGGAAATAGTTGTAGAAGAGTGAATGGAAGGAAACTATAAGTAGCTGCAGGGGCTGACAATAAAGGGGAGACTCCTAAACTCTGTGTAAGCTCCTTTTTAGGACTTGGAGCTTACACAGAGCTTCTTTCTCTTGTAGGAAATAGTTGTAGAAGTGTGACTGGAAGGGAACTATAAGTAGCTGCAGGCGCCGAAAATAAAGGGGAGACTCCTAAACTCTGTGTAAGCTCCTTTTTAGGACTTGGAGCTTACACAGAGCTTCTTTCTCTTGTAGGAAATAGTTGTAGAAGTGTGACTGGAAGGGAACTATAAGTAGCTGCAGGTGCTGACAATAAAAGGGAGACTCCTAAACTCTGTGTAAGCTTCTTTTTAGGACTTGGAGCTTACACAGAGCTGCTTTCTCTTGTAGGAAATAGTTGTAGAAGAGTGAATGGAAGGGAACTAAGTAGCTGCAGGGGCCGACAATAAAGGGGAGACTCCTAAACTCTGTGTAAGCTCCTTTTTAGGACTTGGAGCTTACACAGAGCTTCTTTCTCTTGAAGGAAATAGTTGTAGAAGAGAGAATGGAAGGGAACTAAGTAGCTGCAGTGGCCAACATTGAAGGAGAGACTCCCAAACTGTGTGTAAGCACCATTGTAGGACTTGGAGCTTACATAGGACTTCTCTCTCTTGTAGGAAATAGTTGTAGAAGAGTGAATGGAAGGGAGCTATAAGTAGCTGCAGGGGTCGACAATAAAGTGATGCTGTGGCTTTACCCTGCATGGACAAATCACAGGTTCGAGTTTAAAGAAGAGTGTACTTGGGAATTTGTTTCTTGTTTCTGGTCAGGCTTTCCAAACATCCAGAAATGTAAATGCCATCTTTACAAGATGCAGGCTCTGTAGAAGCTTTCTGTAATAAGAATCTATGAGGTACTGATGTTCTTCCTGCCAACCACTGTGTTCTATTTACATGTTAATTTGATACATTCTTGAGCATTTATATTTTAATTGCCTTGCAAACACTGTGTAGTTCTCTGTATCTTGCACGACACTCTACAATGTGATGCCAGCTTGTTCAGGGCATTGTGTCTGCTTAACATTTACAGTGAAACTTCCCTTTGACCATGCAAGGTCACTGAACTGGCCACCTCCACAACAACATGTACTCCCCTCCCCTCGCTCCTCTATTTCTTGGCCACCAAGACCAGAGAGAAATACCCAGCACTTCTAGGCATGGTTGAGTATGTGACATACATCCTCTTTTCCATGTGATAGCGTTAGGTTCCTCATGATTAGTCTGCTGCCATAACATGGGGTCAGGGAGGGATTCCATAGCTCTTTGTAAGCTCCAACAAGTCAGTCTGGAATTTACACAGGACTTTCTTCTCCTAGCAGATGAACAGAGCGTTGCAGGAGCAAGTAAAGATGAGTATATGCTGCTCGGGAGGGCGCGAGTAAGCCCTCGTCCACACCTGAACGTTTTGTAGCGCGTTCTACGCTCGAAGAACGCTCTACAAAACGCTCAAAAATATTAATTGCATTGGAGTCAATGGACTCGTTCCCACCTTGCCGTATTTCCGCCCGTCCCGAACGCGCTACAAAACGGCCCACGCCTGAAAAGGTACAGGTACTACTTTGGGCCGTTTTGTAGGGCGTTTTCCATTGGAATACAGCCAAGTAGCCTGCGGAATCGCGCGACGGTCGCGCGACTTTTTTACCGCGAATCGCGGTAAAAAAACCGTGCGACGGTCGCGCGACAGACGCGCTTTTGCAATACGCCTAGGTGTGAACGAGGGCTAAAAGATGAACTAGACCGACCATTTGTTTCCCAAAACAAAGTTAGAAATGTTCAATAACTGTAATTAAATTCCTATCCAAAGACACCAACATTACCGTATTTGTATCACACGTGCAGTGTATACTACAGACTATGCAACATTCAAGGCTGCCAGTGTGCAATGTCAGTTCTCAAGCACTTTTCGGTGTCATAGCTGATCACATGCAGAGCCATGGAAGCTGCAGGTGTAAATAGAGGCTACAATGGCACAGTCTTCAGCATGCACAGGGAGAGGGAGTCGTAGTATGATAATGTTTTTGGATGGGAGTAAATTCATTTTTGTATTCTTTGAACATCCATGCCCATTTTAGGATTAGAAATGCAGATTTTTGTTTTATTACTGAAAAGGTTAGGAGGGTTTAGTTTTGCTTTAGGCAACTCATCTCTTTTGTCCTGCACCAGCATAGAAAAGGTTCACTTTAAGGGTCCATTCACACCCAGTGCTTCTGGATGCGTTAATTAATGCATACCAAATGCATAGACACTAAAAATCAATGAATTTCAATGGGTGTAGATGACACCATTGCATTGTGTTGACGTGTGTTAGTAAAAAATAGAGCAGGCTGGTTTTTTTCGCAGTACGTGCAAACGCGTATCAACACAACATGTGTTAATATTTCCCTTTTTTGAAAAAAATATTTGAAATGTGTCTTCTCTGCTGCCCTGTAAAAAAGAAAAGTAACGCATGTAAATGCACGTGAGAGCATTTGATTTATTCACTGCATGGTTTTGGTTTGAATGGGTACTTGAAGTCATCTCAGATCAAGAGCAGGTAAAATAGGGCCTGCTGCAGTTTTTTACCTGCTCTGGATCTGCACGCTGCAATGTGAACTGGAGCTAAAAATACCATAGTAATACATTGGACGCAGTTTTTGATCCGGTCTGCACCTGCTCTGCTCCGCGCTTGGTGTGAACTAGCCCTAAAATGAAGAAACTACATGTCCCATCGGCCACTGCAGCAAATTAACTGGTAGTTCTCGGAGGAGTACAAATGCGGTGACCACACTAGTGGTCCATTGATAACTTCCTTCAGCTCCATAGCAGAAGGTCTGTACCTCCATACAAACAGGGGCTGGAGCAACAGTCTGCAGGAGCCAGACCATCGCACCCGCTATTTACTGATCACAGTTTCAATGATTTGCCGACTCAAATGCAAACACAAAATAAATGCACATTTATTTCTATTTGCAACATGGATGCATTTATTCATTTTTATTTTACAAACGTGGACTATGCCTTTAATGTGTACAATGTCAGAGTCTTGACGTATATCTGAATGGGAAAGACACCACCATGATCCATCTCACTGTTCACACTAATAAGCCATTGATGAATGGAAGGAGCAGTCAGCCGGGGACAAGGATATTAACGTCCTTCCCAGCAGGGTAACACACACTCATTAGGGAAAGCAATAAATTCTGATATTATGTCTGCCATTAATCTGGGCACACAACGCTGCCCTCCCTCCCTCCTTTCCCCGACATCCTCTCACATCATTAGCTCTGGCAAATTGATTAAGACTGGGAGTAAAGAGCTATAGCCTGCAGGAAGTAGATGCTGAACGGGAACGCTGAGCCTTCTGGGAGATGTAGTCCCGAAGGGGGGGCACAAGCCATGTGGAGACTGGAGAGAGGACTCCGTTTCCCAGCAGCACTGCGGAGCGTCAGCCTGATCGTAGCTGTGCTTACATCTCAATCCATTGTACTGTGTTGCTGGTGTTTTTCACATTCCGCTGGACGTTGAAGTGTAAAGTGTAGAAGATGGGTGATGAGCAGGAGATCATGTGCAAGCTGGAGAGCATCAAGGAAATCAGGTATGTACTATACTGTGTATATTGCTGATCGGTAAAATCTCTGCACACTGGCTGCATTCTATTCTGCATGAAGACTATTGTTATCCTACGAGGAATCCAGCGGATCGGAGACAATGATCATCAGATCTCTTATCATCTGCTCATATATAGAGCGATGGGAAATCATACAGGGTCCAGTTGATGATGCCCCCAGCATGTGGGGTGGGTGCAGTCTATGGTCCCCTGACTCCCCTATAATAAATGGCTATACAACTGCTTCCGATTCGCATTCCACTTGTCAGGTTATAGTGATCGTTGGTGTTCAGTCTGGATCTGGTCACAACGATCACTTGTAGATCTGGTGAATGACATTTTAAAGACAGGTTAATAAAACAAGCAATTGCTTTCTTCAGGGGTATTTATTTAGTCTTTGTAGATACACAGCAGAGCAGAAGGTAAGGGCACATACCACTGTTTGCAAAAAATAAATGCACTCATGTAACAAAAAGAAAAAAATATGCATTTATGTATTTTTTTGCGTATGAGTCTTCAAATCGTTGCAACTGTGATCAGTAGATGGTGGGCGCAATGCTCAGGCTCCTGCTGACTATTCTTTCAGCGCCTGTCCGTACCGAGATATGGATTTTCCGTAATGGAGTTATCAATGGACTACCAGTGCGGCGACACCACCACACTTGTACTCCATTGAGAGGTATGAGTCCCTGTAAATGAGTCATGTAAATGAATGGCATGGCTGTGCGAGACTAGCCACACACAGCCATGCCGAATTAAAAAATATACAAAATTGTGTGTATCTTCCTGCACTCCTTACCGGATCTCCTAGGAGATGATGTCTGTAATAGGGTGCTTGTAGTGACCACGGAGGCACCGTGTAGTCAAGTAGTAATTCCAAAAGATGTCACCAGCACTCCAGAAGTAGATTCAATATATTTTAATGACAACGGTCATTCAAAATCACATGTACTTTCGGGGCCACGTTGGGTCCCCGTCATCAGGCTCAGAATGGCTCATTCTGAGCCTGATGACGGGGACCCAACGTGGCCCCGAAAGTACTTGTGATTTTGAATGACCGTTGTCATTAAAATATATTGAATCTACTTCTGGAGTGCTGGTGACATCTTTTGGAATTAAAAAATATACAGGGGCACACAGGGAGAAGCACCCCACAATTTTAGGTAAGTGGGGGCATTGAGGGCGGGAGGGCTGCGCAATGGCACCATGGGCCATGTTATACAATAAATGCGAGTGGAACATGGTATTAAAGGTGGACTTAGCCTTTAATAATAATTATAAGAACACAATGAAAACAGTGGGGGGTAAATATCCAACTGGGGAGGACCTGACAATACTAATTTAGATGGATGTTGTACGGACAAGCAATAGCCATGGGCTGTTCAGATGGCCGCAAAGGTTACTGCTTCTGTAGCATGTTATAGAAAATAAGGCTCTATTCACATATAGCGTTTGCGTGTCCCGCACGGTTTTCAGTGTGGCACGCAAATGCTTAAATCTTTCCAACTGCACAGCTTCAGCTCATTTGAAGCTATTACTATAGGAGCAAAAAAAACGTGCTTGTTCTATTTTGCTGGACACGTGGTTTCCTATGACCGCATATGCGCGGACAACTACTCCTGTGTGAATGGAGCCTTAGAGAAGAATCATGGGGTCTCTCTATATTCTGTCTGTAACTATGCCTTATCTTACTATTATTTGCTGGTGTAGGTCTTGCAGTGATTATTGTTATTATTTATTAGGATGTAGCAGCCCCAAAGGCAGGTCGGTTTTCACATGTAAACAGAACGTAGACATCAATAAAATAAAATAAAAACAATGATCGTAGTAAAGTCATTTCCTGATCTTACTCTATCCTTGTATGCACTTGGATTGTAGGATTTGTTTTGCTTTCATCTATTTTTTAAAATATATAATAAATCCAGTCACTAACATCTCTTCATTTACTATTATTTGTTATTGGCATTTGAAAAGTTATTTTCAATATTTTTTTAAATAGTTTGTAATTTTTGTTAAAATAATGCCTGCTGATCCTGTCCTTGTTCACTTACCCTTTTGGGGTGACATCGCTCTGTCCCTGTTTCCCAGTCATACTTCTGCATTGTTTCCCTGTCACATGAGCTTCTGATGGACCGTTTTAACACAAATGAGTCGGTCCGCTGTTGTCACCATCAGGATATCCACCCTGAGAGATGACATGCAGCCATCACCAGGGTGCATACTTGTAGTAAGGAAGTAGCTGCAGAGCGGCTTCAGGAGAACAGCAGCGAGAAATAAGAAAGGTGAAAGTATATTTTATTTTATTTTGAAAAAGCCAATTGTTACACACACAGGGGGCGATTTATCAAAACTGGAGCAGACAAATACTGGAGCAGCAGTGCAAGGCAACCAATCAGCTTTTCTTTTTCATTTTCAAATCTTACCTGAACAAACTGAAGAGAGAAGCTGATTGGTTGCCATGAGCAACTGTTCTAGATTCTGTCTCCTCCAGTTTTGATAAATTTCACAGTGCTTTAACAAACCAAATGCCATTGAATTAGGACCTCCAGGAAAACTGCTAAACTGACATTGTTGTGTTCATGCATGTTTCTAGCTTTATTTCCTGGAGCTCCTCTTTTAATAGTGGTAGCAGATAGACATTTAGATTTATATATTTTGTCCTGCACTCTGAAAAAAGGAATTCTGCCTCCACCAAGCGTTTTGATCTGACATTTTGTGTAAATATTGTGCTGGAGTTTTCAAAGTACTTGTATTTGTTTTAAAATGTGCAATACATGTTTTACACTGTAGCCCAGGGGTGAGCAAACTTCGGCCCTCCAGCTGTGGTGAAACTAAAAATCCCATTATGCATCTGCCACTGGCAGTCATGACTGTGGCTGTGAGAATCTTGCAATGCCTCATGGGGTTCATAGTTCCATAACAGCTGGAGAGCTGGTGTTTGCCCACCACTGCTCCAGCCTGTGAGGTTACTTATTGATATGATTTCATTCATATTTCATTTACCTCTGACCTCTGTAGAATCATTTAACTGACCCTCTCAGGATAAAGATGGCCATACCCTGGTAAATTTTCATACGAACGTTCTTATGAAAAATGTTGTCAGAACATTCACAGGGTTATTTACTAAAGGGTGAATAGTTTGGAGAAGGCAAAAATCTACGCCAAAATAGCTGTTTTGGAAAAATTCTCCAATTCAGCTTACTTTCCAGTTCAGTAATGTTGTCCTAGATAGTTCACTTCTCCTGCCTTCCCCAAACTCTTCACCCTTTTGTGAACAACCCTGTCAATAATGCCATGTCGAATGTCGTTAAAATTAATTTTTTAACATTCAGTTTCGGAATTTCCCCGAACGAAAACCACATTCACTGTTAAAATCTAATTTGTGTAAGAAAAAGTTCCATCCTGCTCCTGATTTTGTTCTTTCTTACTATTGTTGAAAATCCCTTTAACAATTAGAAAATCCAGTGAATGTCTCAGGCTGCCTCATTATGGGGATGCCCTTGGATAGTGATGTAGCAGACAAAGTCACTCCATTACCCCATCGCTCTGTGCAATGGTTCACTATGATAACATCTCACTATAATGATCATCTGCCGAGAATCATATTTCATCTTGGTGTAGAAGCGGCCTGCTTGCTATTTGTTAGTTTAGCTGTCGTTTTCTATTACTTTATTTTCTCCAGTTATTTCTGTAGTTTTGCTGGATAAAAAATGGTTCCATCTATGACTAACCAATGAACGATATCTACAGACTGATATACTACAGACTGATAGGATATAATACAGACTTGGATGTACTGTATATGTCTGCTTTTTCTTCTTCAAAAGTTTTATAGGCCTTTTGTACTTTCCTATAAGATTGAAATTTCGGCCGCCGAAAATGGTACTTTGGGCAAAATGCCGATAGTACCATTTATTGGCCGAAAATCCGGTGCATCCCTGGTTTCTCTCCTTCCTGCTGGGCGCTGCTCTGTGTCCCCTCTGACAGAGAGCAGCGTCCACCGGGGAGGAGAGAAAATTTCAGGTGGCCGAGCAGGGCAGGGAGCAGACGCTGTTGGTATTATCACAGCGGGCCAGGCTCTCCTCCCCGTGCCGCCCGCTCAGCCTCCTGTGACAGCGAGTCTGAACGGAGAGCAGTGTACAAACAATTAGCGATCAGCTGATTCCTATGGGTTTGTAAATAACTGAGGACATCGTTTACTGTGTCCCCAATTAAGAATGAATAGGAAGTGCTCTACATCACTTCCTGTTCATTCATGATTGTGGACATAGTAACTGATACTAAGGACTCTTTGTCCACAATCCCTTTTAATATTTCAAAAGGGAAAGATCAGGGGTCTGTTTAGGCCCCTGATATTTCCCCAGAGCCCCCGACAGTAAATAAATAAATAAAACATTAAAAACATTTTTTTTTAAAAGGTTAGAAAAAACTAATTTTGGTTTCGGTCTATAAGTACACCTCTAGCTGCCAGCTATCCTGGGCTCTTCTGTCCTCTGTGTGGGCCCCGGACCAGCACGGCGGGTCTCATTGCCTGGATCGGAGGGAGATCTCCACAGGTCCACCTGCTGATCTCTCCTGATGATGTGTATTTAGGGCTGCAACTAATGACTATTTTCATAATCGATTAGCTGGCCGATTATTTTTTCGATTAATCAGATACAAACATTTAAATAAATACCATTAAAATAAAATACACAAATGGAGTGTAAGCATATGGCACTTGAATAGCTTTAGCCCGGGAATGACAGCTGCCAGTGGCAAGATTCTGCAGACGGCAGCTGAATGTGAATACAGCAAATAGAGGGCTGGTGCAATAGCCAGCCTGCTATTGGCTATTTCATATTGCAATAGCCAATAGTAGGCTGGCTATTGCACCCGCCCACTGCTTGCTGTGCCTTCCTCCCAGCATGGAGGAGAGAGCTAGGGGATCCAATCAACTAATCGATAATGAGAATATTTTACAACTATTCTCATTATCAATTATTATCGATTATTCGATTAGTTGGTGGCAGCCCTATGTGTATTACATCACTTACACTTTCAGACTGTCATTTCTCTGGCTGCTATAGCCAAAGAAGAAGCTGGTGAAGCAGATCGCTGCTTCATCAGCTTCTTTGGGGGACCCTAGGTGACATTAAGGGTCTAAAAGTCCCCTGATTCCTCCATAAAGAGGAACTGTCACCTTTTATTTGACTGAGCAAAAATATAAAGAAATACTTTGCTGGACAATGCATTTTTAGATCTGGATTCATTATCGATACAAGAGTTTAATACTATTTTAAGGCATGTTAGCACAAGCTGCTTAAACCTGCATTTGTGTGCAGTGTATGCATTGTGCAGTGTTGTTAACAATGTGAACTTCACCTTATATTGACATATTTTATTACATTGCCCATTAACACAGGTATGTTCTGCTACTTGAATGACATTTAACTGTAACTTGTATCTACATTACAGAACTGATTCTCATGTCAGTGTATTCTGTGGCTTTACTGAATTGTCAATATGTTCTTTATTTAAAGAAGAACTATGGGGTTAGGGCTTTTCCCCATAGTTCTCCTAAGGGTAACGGGAGGACACAAACTAGCGTCCTCCCGTCACTCAAAGCTCAGTATACCGTGCTACAGTATACCGAGCTACAGCTCGCGGTATACTGAGACGCCCAGCTGCGCGAGTGACAGCTGGCTCTGCCTATCTAGAAGCAGAGCCAGCAGTACCCGCCCCCTCCCCCGTCCGTTCCGCCAGTCAGCGCTGGAAGATCGGACAGAGGAGGGGGTGAATCCCTGCAGGGAGCTGTGAGTGACAGTTACGGCTTTCTGCACGGATAGATCGAGAAGTGAGCGAGCGCCGGTATGTGTTCACTCTTTTCCGATCTACTGAGCTGACCTGTGACAGTTTCATTGTCACAGGTCTGCTCAGATTATGAGGCTGAGTGAAAATCATTCACCTCATAATTCTCCTTTAAAGGAGAACTATGGGGTTAAGGCTTTTCCCATAGTTCTCCGAAGGGTAACGGGAGGACACAAACTAGCGTCCTCCCGTCACCCTAAGCTCAGTATACCGCGAGCTAGAGCTCGCGGTATACTGAGACGCCGGAGCTGAAGTGGATCCCGACAATTATGTCTGGATCCGCCCAGCTGCGTGAGTGACAGCTGGCTCTGCCTATCTAGAGCCAGCTGTACCCGCCCCCTCCCCCGTCCGATCCGCCAGTCAGTGCTGGCGGATCGGAGGGGGGAATCCAGCCCCTCCCCTGTCACGGCAGAGAGCTGTGACAGGATCGAGAGGTGAGCGAACGGCGGTATGTGTTCGCTCACCTCCCGATCTACTGAGCCGACCTGTGGCAGTCTCATTGTCACAGGTCGGCTAGAACTATGAGGTGAGTGAAAAGCACTCACCTCATAGTTCTCCTTTAAGTCACTAGGAAATGCTTTGTAGCTTAGCATGTATTTATGTATGTTGAGCTGTATATCTGTTTAAATTCAATGTAAATTATACTGTTAAAGAAACAGGTTTCAAGTCTGCATAGTTCCCAAGAGAGAATCTATGTGGCAAAGCTGCTCGTTACAATCTATAAAATAATATAACATGACAAAGCCCCAGGCTTGTATTGTGCGGCCCCTCTTCATAGCTGCAGTCTGGTTTTAATTGTTATCGCAGTGTACAGGGTTTCATTAAAATTAACCTTTCAGAAGAGAAATATGGGAGCTGTTATCACTGACTTGTTTGATGCATGCTCCAGGGCCCCTTTTACTCATCCTGGCTTCACTTCTTAAAAGACATGATTTACTAAATCTTATGTGTGATGGCCAATGCACTGATCGTGGGTGGACAACAAAATTGTATCCCAACGGTATTTACTATGTGCCCACAATGTGCGTGGGCACGTGTGCACAGGCTACAGTCTCCACATGGTAAATATGCTATATTCTCTGATCCCTATATCAGTGTCAATACTACACTATAGAGTGGTCGCTCCTGTTTTTTCCTTCTGTTTTCCCCACTGCAGTTGTTGAAAGCTGTCTTTTTAGAAGCGTTGGTAGGGACGTTAGATTAGAAGCAGTAATTAGAATTGTGTGAAATATTTAATTATTCTCTTCTGATGGATTAACTTTCTGATGTCTGATATTTATCCTTTTAGGAACAAGACTCTTCAGATGGAGAAGATCAAGGCCAGACTGAAATCTGAGTTTGAGTCCTTGGAGTCTGAAGAGAGACATTTAAAAGAGTACAAACAAGAAATGGACCTTTTACTTCAGGAGAAGATGGCTCATGTGGAGGAGCTGAGGCTTATTCATGCCGACATTAATGTGGTATGTATTGGAACCCTTAATATACTCCACAAATATCTAAAATGTCATTAGTCTTTGTCTGTATGTCTGTAGTCAGTAGGCTAAATAGAACTTAGTGGCTTAGCTTTCTTCATGGTGATAGATACTTGGTCAATGAGAACACCATGTAAAGTTATCCATAAAACTGGTTGTATACATCAAAGAACAGTCATACATTTATGCACAATCGGACAAGATATCTGCAAGCATAGATATTTCCCTAACCATAAACGTACAGGTACCTAAGCATTGCTTTTCCGAAAATGGAGAGAAGTGGGGTAGGTGCTGCTTAATTTTTTTCAAATGGTCTTGCCACAGTCATCCAAGGTTTTATAACTTATCCCGTATTTTATTATAAGTATGGTTGGGCATGACTATATAGGGTTGAGCTATAGATAAGATTGTCCATATGAAACTAAGAGATTGGGACACTGTCATTTAAAGCCTTTAAGCACCCTTACTTTTGGGTAAGGCCATTATTAGAAAAACCTGCAATACAAGGCTTAATTTACTTCTAAGGGCCTGTGATGAGGTTCTGCAGGTGGTCTACTTACCCGGCTGACCACTCAAATGTGCATAATCTACTAATTTATTTTAATATTAGCATTATAACATTCCTACCAACTTTCTGAGATGAGAAAGAGGGACACTTTCCAGCACAATGTATTGCAGGCAATGGACACACTCCTTCCATGTCCCCAGTTATGCAGACCATTAAGAATTTATATGGCAAAAAATGTGCCAGAATTGTTTGGGGGTTTTTTCACCAGTACTTTCAGTATATTAGCACTGCATGCTAATTTAAAATAATATTATATTAATTAAATAAACAAACTTGTTTTCATTTACATACAAATAGAGTTCATCTACTTCCTGGTCCACTTTTGGCACAAATGATGTAATGTGCTAAAGTGTTGCATCCTTGGAAGGTTACATCAGCAGAACATTGGGAAATCTCATATGTAATCTCATGAGATCTCAGGGAAAGGCATTTCCCTCCCCTCAGATGATGTGCATGGTCACATGTCCTAGTCACATATGCCAGAGTTCCAGGAAGAAAAGGGAGATCTAGTAACCTGCCCTTAGTTAACATGGCCACTGTCAGAAGACTGGGAAAGAAAACAGAAATAAGGTATGCAAAGAATACAAAGCCGGCAATTATCTAGAAGTATCTGTTTGTAGATTGTCATTACTAAACATTTCTAAATGTGTTTTTGTTGTTATTTACTGTTGTTATATACTGTCTATATTTTTGCCCCCATGCCACATTTTGGACAACCCTGATCTCTAGCCTAAGCACTTGGCTCTTAGTGAGCCAATACTGGTGCCAGTTCAGCTCATTGGACTTGAAGTGCGGCCTGGCTTCAGGCTTTCCAGCATTTAGATCTACTAAACATGCAGCAAGTTAGCTTTAAAATAAGCTCTCACTGACATCTGTGGTCCCAGTCATTGTAGAGCAATTAATCCTCACAGTTCACAGTGGAATACTGAAGACATTCAAGTCATTCTGTCAGGCAACTGAGCTCACGCTTCTCCCTCTTCCTGAGGGAGAATAGAAAGTTGTATCGCTGCAAAGTCTCTGGTGGGAGTCATTTCAACTGAGCTAAAAGAGATTTGACTTGAACAACGTCAGTGCCTCTTTTTATTTAATTTGAGAATACATTGCTTCACAGTACCTGCAGCTACAGTTAGTTGTGGTTTGTTTTTAAAGTGTATTTACTGCTTATAATAGCCTGGCCACATGTTCAGTTTAAAGTGTTATTAAACCCTTGTGGTAAAAGAAAATAATGTAGCAGCATACCACATAAAGTCCTTTGTTTGCTGTATCATTTTGTGAGCCTGTCATTTCATTAAATTAACCATCAGAGGTTCAGTGATCTTCATTCCCTGTAAGACAATCATGTGTCAAGCTAAATAAGTACAATTCAGTGAAATATGTGATGAACAAAGAAATATATGAGTATATGCTTTAAAAATATATACAGGAGAGCATATCAAAACATGAAAATATGTGAACAAAGTGAAAAACACAAAGTCCAATGTGCAGAAATTAAAATCGTGCAAATAAATGCAGGGGATAATCCACCACTGGATAGATCCAAACTTCCAAGTAAGCAGTTGCCACAGAATCCTGACAGACCTTCACCTCCACCCAGTGAATGCAAAATTGGAATAGTGGTCACCTGGGGAGATAGACCCACAGGACTAGGTCTAAAAGCGCATTTCCCTTCTAAACAGGGGAGGGAAGCCCGTATGACTGAAGACCAGGTGACTTCCTCAGCTCGCAAATATCATTATTTCATAGGGAAATAAAATATAAAGAGGACATGATGTGTATCGTCCAAACAAATGCAATTTATTAAATAAAAGCAGGTACTCACAATGTCACAGGTGACAAAAGGCATAAAACAAATATCCAATGGACACCACAGTACAAAGCTATCGGTGCAAAGGGACTCCTATCCGTCGGCTCAGCTGAGAGGAGTGACGTCAATTGCTCAGCCCTATGTACGTTACGTCTTTGCGCGACTTTGTCAGGAGGCTCTTTCCCTCCTTTCGAGTGGCTCCCCTGCATGCCAGGTCGTCTTGGAGTTGAGCCATCCCATTGTGCATGTTCTTTTTTGGGGATATACATAAACTGCACAGGATAGAAAGTTGAGCTCCTGTCAACCTCCTCTCACAAACAACTTTTGAGTATAATGGGTGGCCTCAGTGACCAGTAAAAAGGAGAAGGACTTAGGAATGGACAGGACAGAACTTGTGATATGTGAAACACTTGTAGAAGAGTTTTAAATGATGGAAGGAGCAGGAAATAGTTTCAAGGGAAAGACTCATATCCATGTGATTCTAGCAAACAATGATGCCTCTCCTTGGATCAATACTCACCAGCTGTTGTAATCTGTTTACATAAATCTAACCAATCTTCCCATGAAAATCTGGCTTCTTTGTTTCTTGTCAATTACAGCAGATCATTTTTCTACCTCGCAGCTATAAATCGGACAATATTTATCACGGATATATATTTTCGTGATTACTGGAAGTAGAACTATAGGATTTTTTTTTGTAGTTTTAGATGCACAGAAGAAGAAGTGACAGTTGTTGTTGGAACTTTCTGCACTGGAAGATATACCATAAGATATACCTTAAAAGTTGGTGTTTGCCCACTAGCAGAGAGCTAAATGAAACCTGACAGAAGTTCTAACCCAACCCCACTGTATCCATAAATAGAAAATATTTTGGTGGTTCTGTGGAAGCTGTCCCCCCACACTGCCTCTTCCTACTGTAAGTGCACGGTGTTGTGGTCCTATCTGAAGACCTTGTAAAAGGTAAATAATAAAACATAAAAAAAGTAAAATATTGCAAGGCAGGGCCACTGGAGAAGGGGGGGGGGGGCTTTAAGAAAACTGTGGGAATAATGTTTAAGTCAGGAGTAATGCTTTTAAAATAGTATTAAACTCTCAATCTTTTTTTCCAGTAATTAATCCACATCTAACAAATATACATTGCCCAGCAACATATTTATTTTTATTTTTGCCCAAGCACTTACAATCATCATGTTTCCAAACAGCTGGCTCTAACCTCACCTCTGCTTCCCTGAACTTCTTGTTAAGTACAAGGTCACAAGGGAGAGTGCAGTCTTCAGCAGCTCTCCATTTCGTTGTTTGAAAAAGGGTGTAGGGAGGAGCAGGGAGCAGATGGGGATGGGAATAGTTTTCTATGCTATGCCTGTGTGCTTGTCGCGATACACCAGCTTAGTAGCACACACAAGGGTGGCTCCATAGGACCTTGCAAGGGAAGGAGCCACCCTAAAACAGGATATCAGAACCAGATGATTTTGTGGAAACTAAAACTTTTAAACATCAAGGAGCAGCATCATTTGTAAGTGATGTAATCAGCATTTGGAATAGCTTAAAACTTTTTGACCTTAGTATCACTTGGTATGCCCTCATTTTATCTAGCCAAAAACTAGTTCATATACATTGACAGATTATACACTTTCTCTATATGAGTAGAGTGGAGATGCAGCTTTCCAAAGTTATGAAAGGAAATGGAGCTTAGGGGGAAGGGAGCAGGGGTATAAATCATCACGCCTCTGCAACAGTTATCTCCAAATGCAAGGTCTGCTTATTACATACAGCCCCCCTCCTCTCCCCCCCACATTGTTTTAGTGAGGGTGACGTCACATTTTGGAAACACATTTTGCAAACACTGAGCGGGGAATTTATCAAAACTGGAGCAGACAGAAACTCGAGTAGTTGCCCATGGCAACCAATCAGCTTCTCTCTTCAGTTTGTTCATTAAAGGAGAACTATGATCTTAACCCCATAGTTCTCCCTTAAAGAATTTAAAATGAAAGAGAGAAGCTAATTTGTTGCCATGCACAGCTGCTCCAGATTTTGTCTGCTCCAGTTTTGATAAATCCCCCTCTGAGTATCCCAAATCTTGTGAGGAGACCCTCTTGCACTTCTTTTGAGATTTAGTGTGAACCTGTATTTAATAAGTGGACATTGCATTTGGGTGCAAGGTCTGCATTAAAGAAAAGTAATCTGGGAAGTCAAGCAGCGAGTAGATTTCTTTTTCCTCAACAAAAAATTGACGATTATTCTTCCCTAGGCCTCTCCCCCTCCCCACCCCGGGTCTTCGGGGGACCTCTTTCTTCCCTCCCCTCCTTAGACCTTTATGATTGCTGTTTCCTCTCCTTTGCAATAGAATATACAGATTGCACATATACTGTATATGTTTGATGTGCAGAATCACACGGCATTATTGTACATGTCTATATCCTATATTTGTATTCAACAATGCCCTTTTGCTATATGCCACTAAAGGATTATATTTGAAAATTCAATAAAAAGTTTGAAACCAAAGAAAAGTCATTTGAGATTACATTCATGCTTGGGAGTTGAACTGCACAAATGGCAGCCAGGGAATGGAGCAGTGGAGCTGTGCAGTGCTGATGACTTGAATGAAGTGTTGTAAAACACATCATTGATGTATCCGTGTCTGCACTTTCATACATGGGACTGACTATCTCTCTGGGAAAAGACCTGGGAATTGACCAAGCCATATTGCAGAAATACTTATTGATTTTAACGTATGATAAATGTCTTACAAAGAAAAGGTCAGGATTGCAGTTCCTTTTTCACTATGTGAATAAGAATAAATAACAAAGTCCTCTTTCTAGATTAAGGTCAGAAGTCACTTATATGGCTGTCAGAAAAGGTTCTCCTGCATTTGATTTAGTATCTACATTTTCAGTGAAGTAATTTTCTTAATGGATTAGCTATCAGTATTAATAAAATCTCTTTGAATGACGTTACCAGCAGGGAGTTACGTGCGGTGAGTAGTATAGGTATAGAGCAATGGCAAAGCCAAATCTGTCCATAGAATATAAATAGAACTCCAAGCAAAGATGTTTTCTCTTGTTTTTGATAGAGTGGATAAGGGTTGTAAACCCTGCTGAATTTTGGGTATGGTCTGTTGTTTTGCAAGTTTCATAAGTACCATTTACTGTCTTCTGTTTTGCAGGTGAACAATGAAGGTGTATATTACACTCAAAAAACGTCTCTATATCACTCCTATATGTAAAAGTTCTGGTGTGCTCAACTTCCAGGGCCTACTGGCTATTGTCCTAATCTTAGAAGATGGATAGACTCTTACTATCCCTGCTTGGTAGCTAATGTTTCTAACATTAGGCACTGGCCCATGGGTGTAATGCTATTGGGTAAATCAGCCGTAATGAGAATATGAGCAACTGCATACCACTGACTTAATTTGTATTGAATTATTATTATGTACAGTATGCTCTAAATACCTCAAGCTTCTGGTCTGTGTGTGTCTTCCTAACAAGCCATTAGGGTAGGTTCATATCACAGAACGCACATCAACACATATGAATTGACATACCCTGGTGATGTTCTTTGTTGTGCATTTGTGGCTGCAGTATGTTGTCCATCTGCATTTGTGATGCACTTTTTTATTTATTTCTTTACTCACATTACTTTCTCTCTACCTAACATGTGCTGCAGCACTTTGCAATGCACTTCATTCGATAAAATGTATGCCTCATTGGTTGTGCGTTGTAGCAAAAAAAAATTAGCCATGGGCAAAGTTGTGCAAATCATAACTGAAGTAGAAGGAGGTTTAGTTAAGACCTAGATTTTTTGTACATGTGCCTGTTCTAAATAGTCTGTCAAACGGACACATCAAACCCTTATTTGTACCCTTGTTTTTTCTGATTAACCATTGTGCTCATTTCAAAGCATGAAACCCTTTTCATACATAGGGGTCTATTCACGAAGCTGCCGAAGGATCTAGCCGTAGCTTCGGCCGATCCTATAGGCCGTACAGCTCCCGAACGTGGCCGAGCGGCTCAGTCGAGCTGAACGCATATGCATCGGCTCGGCTGGGCCGCGCTGAAAGCCGAAGCTGGACGAGCGGCCGTCCATTGGCCGGCCGGCAGCCTGCTTCTGACATCGGCTGCCCTCGGCAGCTTAGTGAATAGACCCGATAGTCTTTTTCTAAAATGCTTCCTAGTCTCTTCTAATCTATGCACCCAGTTAAAAAAAAAAACTATAACTCCTTTTTAATATGAACTGCCATTTCTCCAGGGATGCTGTGCAAGGGGATACGTAATAAAAGTGCTCATAAAACACTTCATAAATGAATATCTTTTTTTCTGTAGGGTTATTGCTAACACCAGGGGACAGGCTTATTGAAAAAAATAAAACTGTGCACAGGAATCATATGTAAACCTGAACACTGGAGGGATTGGCACTATTATTTTTTAACTAACAAGAGGCTCAAGGTGGGGTTTGATATATCTCATAAGGATGTCATGCATCAGGTTAAAGAAGAAGCAATTGGACTACCCCCACATTGCAAGGGTTCAGTGCTCATTTTGGTCTAGGGTCTAAAAAAAAGATATACACACCTGATCCTCTGTCCCTCCTAGCTGCTAGACCAGTCCCCACAGCCTCTTCTCCCCTGGGCTCTGGCAGACTAACGGTGCCCATACACTGTGCAAATTTTGATCAAAGGAGCTGGTCGGAAAATCTTCATACGACCAGAGCTGCGAGCCAATGAGTATCTAGTTTAAATTTGTATGCAGACTTTAAATATCTCCTTAATGGAAAATTGCCCTTCTGTTAAAAAACTGGTACAGTATACCCAAGGTCTCTATACAGTGTGGACTATATTTATGTGACACCTAGAGAACACACTATCATTTCCATGAGCTTAACATAATTTAACCTTTTTAGTTTCAAGTTCAGTGGTTTCTAACCTTTTTACTTACTTGCATACCCCTGGGAAGTCCATTTGTATAAATTGTACTTTATACTCCTGGAGTACTTTGTACTTCTGGCCCACCCCCTTAATGGGGGTGGGCCAGGGGGCAGGGGTAATAGTGAGGCATGTAGCATAGTCAAAATGGATGTGGCCAATTGCTTAAATGCCACTGTGTTGGTGTCAATGAGATAAAGTAGGGAGCTGGGAGGCTGGTGCGACCCCGAGGAAAGGTGGGTTGAGCAGATTCCTGGTGCGACTCAGGACTTACAGTCTCTGTCCTATGCCTCTTCCTCTTTGCTCCAAATTGCAGCAGAATGCAGCACCCGCTCTTAAGAGAAGCAGAGGGCACATCACTCAACTGGGGACTGGTTGAGGTATGGGCAGCACACATTGTCATCGCTCTTTACTCCTTAGCCGCTCCTTTTGGCTGCAGGAGAGAAGGCAAGCACTCTGTACTCCTGGGTATGGGGAACATCCTCATGGCACATACATATTTTCCTAACTGGTAAGGCTGCATTAATATAACAAGTGGAGATTTAAATCCTTACAAATGTCCACTCCAAACTAGTTCTCTTTAAAGTAAATAATCATATCAGTGTGTGCTTAGGTTTACGGGAAATCTTGCTTCTGTATTATATTTGTACTTTAAGTACAGGACTTTGCTTCTTAGTAGTGTTACACAATAGTTGCGCCTTGCAGATTCTGTTCTCACTTCCAGTCTATGAGATATTGTCTGTACCACTAAAAACAATAGAATCTATTGCATTTTGTAGTTACATAAGCAGCTGTGATGCTCATGGTAACCAGAGACCATATCATTAATTGCCTAGGCTTTAGGTGACATAAATATGTTTTGTTTTATTATTCATAGGAGGAAAGACTACTTTGTTTTGTTTATTTTGAGTAAAAAAGTGTGGGCCGATAATGCTATCAAGGGCTCTACTGATTATTGTGAAGTATGATTTTTTTTTCCTGATAGGTCCACTTTAAGGGTAACATATTGCTGGGGAAGCACTGACAAACCAAAGACCAGCCATATAATACCAAAAACATTTTATAGAGAGGCATTGGTTATTTTTAGTGTGTTTCCACTTTTCATCAGGATACCTCGTGTGGGGTTGGTTATTGGTTAAATATATGCTTGCATATTTGACTTGCTATTAATTGGTGTTATTTTCTCTTCCGTAGATGGAAAACACAATCAAACAGTCAGAAAATGACCTGAACAAACTATTGGAGTCTACGCGTCGCCTACATGAGGAGTACAAACCACTGAAGGAGCATGTAGATGCAATAAGAATGACTCTAGGTCTACAGAGACTGCCAGACCTGTGTGAGGAGGAGGAAAAGCTGTCCTTGGAGTAAGTTGGGCAGAGTATGGCCATGTATCCTTTCATGACATACAGTATATACTTGGCTGTAACATGTCCTTTTCACACATAGAGCACATCTTAAGTGATACGATTCTACTGAGATACTTTAAATGTGTTTCTGTCAGTTATAAAACACCAATCTTGTAATAAAATAAATATTTAAAGAAGCAAGTTTTTTTTGTCAGAAGATATAAAAATTCTACATCAGCTAAAGGTTATATTACTACTGCATCCCATGGCACTGCTTCTGCTCCAGGATCTGCCACAATTTCCTTTTAAGCATACAGGCTATAATGTGTACACCCCTGGGTCTGGAGTGTAGCATAGGGGAGGCTTATGCAAAAACAATTACACCTTTTCCTATCCCAAGCCCTTTCATTGCATTCACCATCTGTTGGCTGTATTCTGGCTAAAGGGCATGGCTTTAACTACCTATTAGTTTTATGAAGGAAAATCTGTGTATTAAAGGTTGAAGCAGGTACATGCAGGTACATCTGGGTGTCTGCATTTATACTTGCACCAAGCTTTTTTTATGACTGATTCCCTTTAAGAACAGCAGATCAAATTGAAGAAGAATGAATGTATTATTGATTATAGATTTATTTACTTCCTTTATAACCCACCAACATACTATGCAGCACTTTACAGAGTATACAGAACCATACACATCTGTCCCTGCCTCTATATAAATCCAACACACACGCACACCTACACTATAGAGGCAATTTAATCAGATGCCATTTAAATAGCATTTTTTTGGTTTGTGGAATTGAACTGGAACACCTAACATACATACAGAGAGGACATTTAAACTACTTAAAGAGATAGTATCCGTTTCTGGACTACTGGGGAAATGAAATACCATGGTGCAGAGCTTTGCAGTGTCCCTGTGCAATTAAATGTTTTATTCTTCAGCAGCCTAGAGTAGTCAAGTATATGAAAACTAATTTGTGGTTAAATGTCACTTACTGCACACTACTTTTTTTTCAAGATATGATACCTTATGTACAGTCTACAAACTATTTCAAAACCTCATCCTTTAAAAAATGCCACCCCAAAACATCTATAATAAGGACTAATGCACTGGTTTTGATGTTTTATATTTTCTTCAGTACATTATTTTTAAACTGCTCTTTTGTCTTTCTGTAGCTATTTTGAAAAACAGAAAGCTGAATGGCAAACAGAGCCTCAGGAACCACCTATACCAGAGTCCCTCGCAGCAGCCGCTGCAGCAGCACAACAGCTACAAGTATCCAGAAAGCAGGACACCCGACAGACAGCCACCTTCCGGCAACAACCACCTCCTATGAAGGTAACACTTGCTTCCTCCTGCTTTTAGCTCCTTTTACTTAATTTTACCTTTGATTGCAGACTAGTCATGTGACTGGTGGGTTCCTTTTCCTCTTCAGATGTTAACTTAGTAGTGGTGGGTGGTCTCCAATGTTGTAGAGAGTGGTGCTGACAGGAAGATGTAATCACCGCTCTCTGCAGCATTACACTGTAAGTGCAGGGTGTTCTGGTGATGTCTCTTCAGTGGGTGGGTCCATGACAACCTGCACTCAGCCTTCTGGGTTGAATGGTGCTAGGATTCAGCAAACTCATGGAAGCCTGAGGACTTTTTGTGGTGAAAAGGAATAACTGTGGGGAACAGCTATGTGTTGAATTTAATATTTTTTCATTTTACCTATGCTTAGGGGTAGGGCTGCAGCTAACGATTATTTTCATAATCGATTAGTTAGCCGATTATTAGGTTCGATTAATCGACTAATCGGATAAAAAAAAAAAAAGGGCTCCAGTGATGGACTACTAGTTTCTATTGAGAAGCGTGCGGGGGGGCGTGGCTTATGCGTCCTGTCGGCACGGCGGGAGCAGCGTGCGGTGGGCGTGGCTTATGTCCGGCGGGCGCAGCGAGACGGAAACAGCGTGTGACGTGTGCTTCAGGCCGCGTTTGGAGCCCCGAACAGGGAAATCAATCGATAGCCGACGAATCGACGATCGAAAACGTTGGCAGCGTTTTCAATCGTCGATTTTAATCGACTAAATCGATTAACTGTTGCAGCTCTACTTAGGGGACCTTTCATAAAAAAAAGGCCAGGGAATATAGAATGTATTCCTCTGACAGTGATACAAAGGAAATATTCCTGTAATGAAGGTGTGCTATAATCCAGTAATGTTCTTCCAAAACTAAATATTTCTAAATACCTTCCGGTATTAACCCCTTTGTGTCAGTTCCCTATGGCCCCTTAAAGAGTTCTTGAGTTCTTAATGCTGAGAGGTGGGCTTCCCAATCATATGATCACTGTGATTGGCTGTCATAGTGAATATGTGCCCGTCCCTTGCTCCTTGTTAATAGTGACTGTGCGATTTGGGGGAAAATGGTGTAGGATGTAGACATATTATTATTATTATTATTATTATTATACAGGATTTATATATCGTCAACAGTTTGTGCAGCGCTTTACAATATAAGGAAGACATTACAATCACAATACAATTCAAGACAAGATGGTAAGGAGGGCCCTGCCCATGCATATTGTGCAGCCCAGGGATAAAGCACACTGCCCTGTTACTACATACAGTATATGCATATGGTCAGAAAGTGGTTATGGATTCTCACATAGTCTCTTCTACCTTGGAGCAGATACTGGAGAAGAGGAGGTCATATGACCTCTACGGAGGGGGCTCGCAAATATTCTGTATATTAATTATTTCTTCCTTTTCTCTACCTTAGTCTGGTTATTTATTTTCTTCATTCAGTTGTCCTTTTGTTTTCCTGCTGTCCTTTTACATTTGAGTTTCCTGTTTTAAAGTGCTACTTTTCTTTTTCAGGCCTGCTTATCTTGCCACCAGCAGATACACCGCAATGCACCCATCTGCCCACTCTGCAAAGCAAAAAGCCGATCTCGGAATCCAAAGAAGCCAAAACGAAAACAAGATGAATAGAATGATCTGATCCCCGCCTCAAGCCCAAATACTCCTATACCCTGACTTCTCCCTAGTACTAATGTAACCGTGATTGCCCCAGTTCCTGTGCAATCTTGAACTGAACGTGTGGTGTTTTTCTATTTCATGTGGTGTAAGCACAATGGGGCTTGTTTCATTATGATTGCACAGTCGCAGTGTAAAACCAAGCTGCTAATTAAAGCCAAATTAACATGGCTGCTGTTTTGCTGTAACTCTGCTACAATCATACATTCCCAGTGTTTGTTGTATCCTTTTGTTAAAAAGAAACAAGAATGAAATTATTGAAGTTTTGGTGCTATTTTCACTTTTTTTCTCTTTGAAAAAAGCGTTCCATTGCTGTCAAAGGATATCTGTGCTATTACAGAATGCAGGAAGACCACTACAAACAATTTTTTTTCCCAGCGTTTTACTTACATGCCTCTAGTAAGCAAATGGGTCAGTTAAATAAAATGGAGACTGTTCATAGAAATTTGTTGTGTGACTTTGTGTAAGAAAAGGTTTTTATTTATCTAGTTAATGTGACTAGTTACTACTAAGAAAAACAAAAAGCTTACCGAACAGTGAAATGCCATCTTTAAACAAAAAAAAATTATTTAGAATTTTTTAAGACGAGGCTTTCTATAGCTTCAATACCATAATTGGACTTAATAAAGCAATGTATAAACATCACGACACTAACTCGTTGCTGACAAACAGAAATAATCTTTCACTGGTCTGCCTACCAGTGAAAACTGCAGTTTTTAGTATACTTTGGTAATCAGCATTGTTTTTTACGCACAGCCAGACAAAAAAATTAATATATATGTATATATATATTAAGGATGCACCGATACCGATACTAGTATCGATATCGGTGCCGATTCCGAGTATTTGGGCAAGTACTCACGTAATTGGTATCGGCGAGTGCCAAAAAAAAATTATCGGTACTCGTACTCGGTACCAAAATACCGGTATCGGTGCATCCCTAATATATATAAACAAAAGAGATTTGCTGTATTCGAGAGCTGTCTCCCACAGTGATCCTTTCTGCCACTAGATGTCCTCAGTCTTCCAGGTTGAATGAGAGCCAGCAAATTCAACCCACTTCCTCTGAACCCAGGCTATCAGGCACTGTTGTCACATAGCCTGAGTTCAGATTATTATTACTTATTACAAGGCATACATTGTAATCCCTTGGATAATGGCCTAGCCCACAACAATCTTACCTCGCTTTGTAGTGGTTTAAAGGTTGAATATTGTCTGTGAATGCTCCTGCATAAAACATGATGTCTGGAATCATAACTGCAGAACATAAAGCTGCACTCATCCTACTGCTGTTGTTTTGTGATTGGATGGAGCAAGTCTATGCATGCTGATATGATGGTTGAAAAAGCTTTCCCAAAGTGGATTTTATCCCATTTTTCCTAAAAATTACCTCAGCATGCAGCTCCGCATGCTGATATAAAATCATGTAACATACATTAACTAAACAAACATTTGTTTCTTTCATTTACAATTAATATTTTCCTTTTCCTAGTTGAGTGAGGCACTAGTGATGTAGTCCTGGTCTCACAGATGCATGCTGGGAAGGCTGCATCACAGTGCATTCCTGGGATATCTCATCTGTAATCTGCAAAATTTTGCAAGACCTTAGTGAAACATGCCAGATTTACAGGCAGTAAAGGGAGATGGATTTATCTGCCCTTAGTGAAAATGGCCACCATGAAACAAATGGGGAGAAAAAGAAAATAAGTATGCACAGATTAAAAAGCACAGGACACAGCGGGGATCGTGGACAAGGTAAGACCTGTACGCTGTATTCCCAAGAGTGGCTCGCGGTTACCGCTTTGTTAACCCCGATCCACACTCGGGAATACCAATGGAAACGCGGGGAAAAACGCCCCAAAGAAGCTCCTGTACTTCTTTGGGCGTAGGGCGTTTTTCAGCACGTTCCTATGCGCTGAAATACGCCCAGGTGGGAACCATGCCCATAGGCAATTATTGGTTTTCACATGCTGAGCGTTTTACAGCGCGTAGAGACGCGCTGTAAAATGCCCAGGTGTGAACCAGGCCTTTGGCAGACCTGATTGTGACAGATTGGATGTAAACGGAACCATCAGACTTCCCATAGACCTAACATAGGTCCATTTGTTCAGTTTTCAAACATGACATCTGTTTCATGCAGCTTCAATCAGCAGGGCATCTGTGCATGGATTCCCTGCTGATCGGAATGGATGCCGTCTGTGTGAAAGGGCCCTAAACTTTATAAATGAAAGCTAGAAGCTGATTGGTTGCCATGCACAGCTGCTCCAGATTTTGTGTGCTCCAGTCTTAAGGTACCCATACACCTGACGATTATCGTACGATAATCGCGGGTGATCCCGCGATCGTACGAGACTATCATATGATTCCGTTTTTCCAGCATCCATGCCAAATAAACACAAGGAATAGTTATAGATTTAATTTAATGAATGGAGCATGGATGGCCCACATACATACGCAACACTTACTACCCTGCAGCCCTGATCTACCACAGGTTCTCCCACAATTCCAAGATTTGTAATGACTTGCTGAACAAAATCAAAACCTACAAAAAGGCTGCATAAACTTCTCTCACCACTACATCATATGACACATTGTCAGACCACAATACTTTAGTCTGACAATGGACTGCTCATGCACTACAGTCTACATCGTGGGGAGGCAGCAGGGGAGTGTCATATGCTCCTGGATTTGATTATCCATGTACCAGCCAGGTATATCCCTGAGCGCTGGCAGTGCAATGGGGTGACAAGGGAAGGAGTGGAGGGTAAAGCTCATACAGTAAAGTGAACCTGTTACTTTTGCCTGTAGAGGAAAAATACAAGTTCACGTAAGAAACTTGAGCAATTCAGACTGAGAGTATATGATATACAATGCACAAGGATCATTTATATTATAAAATGAAAACACAGACATGGGAATAGACCATCCATTCATAAAAAAATATTTATATTGCTGTTTATGAACAATATTTTTTAGATAAATGATCAACTTGAAACTGCCACTTTCTTCAGACTGCTATCGTATGTCTACGTGTAGCCTCAGAGGTGATTGGGTTAAAGAGGCAGGTACAGGAGGAGTGACTGCAAAAGGACTTTCCATAAAATGAAATGACAAGAGATTTTGGGGGCGCAGAAATTTTCAGTGGATGTTCCCTGATTTCTGTAATGCAGTTCACCATTTCACCTGTAGGTGGAGATCACACATTATTTATCATATAAAGTTATTTTTTTTCTGTAACAATCTCACATATTCAAATGATACCGAAACACATATTTTGCAAGAACTAAAATGTTTATAGTACTGACCTATGTGTAGTGAAACAAACAAGCTCAGAGAAAGATGGAAAGTAAATTATAACTCATCATAACACATTATTTTGCTTTAATCTCTATTAGTACAACCATCACTTAGAAAGTATTTAAAAACACTAAAAAGGCAATGGGGCACTGCATGGTCTCATTCTTTATATCAATAGATGTCAAATTAAAAAAAACTTTGAATACTGTTGCAGAGCTTATAAACACTGTGTTCTGGTGATAATTACCCTTTGTAAGGTACAAAATGAATGACATTACCAGTCATTATCCAGTTGGCAACAGTTTAATTTTTAAGAAATGTCAGGATGGCAAAAACGGTTGTTTGAAGAAGGCATGTGATGATTTGACTTTGAATGAACTGGCATTGTCTAAGTTGGGGTGAATCTTTAACTTTTGATCATCTGACTGATGGCCAGATCAAATGGTGTACATCCAGCTTGAGTGAAATAAGAACAGGTGTCTCAACTAGGACTGAGCTTCTGTGTGTAAAACCTGCAATAACAACGTAAAATATACAGTATGCTTGCTGAGTCTATCCTATAGTTCTTAAGAGAGCACAGTCCATGGGACCCTCCATTGGAAATAGCAAGTTAGGGCTCTTATCATGCATTGTACACAAGTTTAGTACCTGGCTCACTGCCTTTTATGCAATCTGCCCATAAATATACATTCTTTTGTTACAGTTATGCATATTTATTACAGGTATTTATATAGCGCCGACAATTTACACAGCGCTTTACATACCTTGTCCTCAAGGAGTTTACAATGTACGGTCCCTATCTTACGTGCATGCATTAAGAGCTAATTTACAGAGCAACCAATTAACCTTCCAGCATGTCTTTGGAGAGTGGAAGGAAACCCACACAAGCACAAAGAGAACATGCAAACTCTATTGGGTGTTTTAGAGGGATATACACTATGGGGTAGTTTGGAAGAATGTATGTAAGAAGGAATAATAGCCTTGTTTACATGTTTTTGTTTATTATGATCAAGAGTAAAAAATAAAAATGTAAAAAATATGTTTTTCTAATTTTATAAGGTAATTACGAACTATTGCATATTCATATCATGCAGTCATCTGTCCCGTTCTAGCCAGAAGGTGGTGGTTTAGCCCTCATTTCACACCATTGACATGCTTACTTTTCAGTTATGCTAAAACAAGCTGGTTGGCTACAGAACTAGAATGGGTCATCAAAGCAAAGGCTCAAAGTGAGTTACTCTGCTGTGCTGTTTCCTACCTATAGTTCTCTGAGAGATTTTATGTAATAAAAACAGTGTTGAGCCACAGAGACAGATCCACAGTGAGGACGTTGGAGTCAAGACATCAGCTGGTGGTACAGTGCCCAAATCGACTGACAGAATATTTGTTTCACTGATCCTTCAGCCCAGTCCAGACTTTAATCCTCTATAATTGAAGCCCTAATGAAGGGGGATTTGAAACACCTCGTCACATCACACTGAACACAAATAAAGCCTATTCTGGGCCTGTACAAAGATAGTGGAACCTTTATCTTCAAATTTATTTTAACTATCTCTGCATGACTATAGAGCAGAATTCAGGGAGCTGAAGGGTGCTAACTTAACAACTGAAAGGACAACAATCTCTGGATCTGGGGCATGGAGGTAAGTGTAGTGCATATCCTTTCACTTCCTGTGTGTCACTTCAGGGATGAAGTGTGTCTACCCAAAGTTTATTGTATTGTTTGGCTTCCCATTTTCTCTGGTGAGCTGGCAGCATCTCTGCTTGACACTACTTTACCTATGAAATACAGAGAGGCTAACAGGAAAATTCTACATAAGTATCTCTGAAGGCTAAACAGATCTAGGGCGGAAGTTTGTTGAGTGAGACATACAGTTTTGGCACAGTTGTGGGCAATATCACAACTTTTTTAAATAGGTAGTCATAATATTTCTTGTCATGACTATATA